TGGGGGGCCTGCAGGAGGCATTGGATCAATGATTCCCTCTCATCATTGATGTTTCTATCTCTCCCTCTCCTTTCCTCTCTAAAATCAATAAAAATATATGGAAAAACAAACAAAAAACAAGCAAACCTGGACATGAACTCTGTAGCTAGCTTATTTCTTTTTAAAAAAATTTGTTATTGATTTCAGAGAGGAAGGGAGAGGGAGGGAGAGATGGAAACATCAATGATGAGAGAGAATCATTGACCGGCCGCCTCCTGCATGCCCCCTACTGGGGATAGAGCCCGTAACCCAGGCATGTGCCCTTGACTGGAATCGAACCCAGGACCTCTCAGTCCGCAGGCCGACGCTCTATCCACTGAGCCAAACCAGCTAGGGCACCTTTGGGTCTTTAATACCTTCTGACATGATCTCAGCACACAGTCCCCATACACATCACGATACCCTTTTCTATAAAGGATTGAGCTTCTGGACTTGGGTATCTGCAGGGTGTCCTGGAACAATGCCCACGGATGCCAAGGCACACCAACGCTCCAGTCACCCGCCCCCGGCCCGCACACCCGCGATAATGCCTCCATTCATTTGCTTTATTGTGAAATGCACAAAACGAAAGATTTACCATTTAATGGAACGTCTCCTGCCAGGGGGTCCCTGACTCTCTCATGTATGTGGGGTTCCCATGCGGATGTATGTGTGAGGTTTGGTTATTTTCTCTGGCCACAAGAAAAAATGACTTCCCATTGAATGACATTTACTGCACCCACAATTGGAACCACCACCCCAAAAAGGAGACCCACACAGCAAGCAGCCCCGCCCCCTGCCCCCTCCCCCATCCCTGGCGACCACTAATGTGCTCTCTGCGTCTGTGGATCTACCTATTCTGGCCATTTCATGGAAATGACACCCTCCAATAGCGTAGCCTTTTGTGTCTGATTTCTTTCTTTTTAAAAAAAGGAAATTTTTTAAAAAAAGGAAATATAGGCTCACCAGCGTGGCTTAGCGGTTGAGCGTCGGCCTGTGAACCAGGAGGTCACCCGAGGTACATGCCTGTGACTGGAATCAAACCCGGGACCCTTTGGTCCATAGGCTGATGCTCTATCCACTGCGCCATACTGCCTAGGGCAGAACTTCATTCCTTTTTATGGCTGAATAATATTCCATTGCATGGATCTATCACCTTTTGTTTATCCATACATCCGTTGATGGCCGTGTGGGTTGTTTACACTTTGGGGCTATTATAACTAACTAGAGGCCTGGTGGGCGACCAGGGCTCATGGGGGCCTTCTGGCTGGCAGCGGGAGCCTTCTTTCATTCCGCGCTGCCCCCTGGTGGTCTGCTTCTGTGAACATTTAGGTACACGTTTTGCTTTGTAGTTAATAGCTGTTTTCAATGCCGAAACCGGTTTGGCTCAGTGGATAGAGCGTTGGCCTGCGGACTGAAAGGTCCCAGGTTCGATTCCGGTCAAGGGCATGTACCTGGGTTGCGGGCGCATCCCCAAGAGGCTTCTGTGAACATTTAGGTGCATGTTTTGCTCTGTTGTTAATAGCTGTTTTCCATTCTCCGGGGCATATACTCAGGAATGGAATTGCTAGGTCATATGATGTGCTGGTCAAGGCTCTCCATAGAAACAGAACCAACAGGAAGTGTATATACATATATATAGAAAGAGACTTTAAGGAATTGGCTCACATGACTGTGGAGGTTTGCTGAGTCTAAACGCTGATAGGGGTGGTGGGCAGGCGGGGGACTCAGGAAAGAGCTGCAGCCGAGAAGTCTGAAGTCAGGCAGGATGCAGAAGCAGGAAGGGCTGATGTAGCAGATGAAGTCCAGCTCAGTGGTTAGAGTGTCATCTTGATACACCAAGGTTGCGGGTTTGACCCCCAGTCAGGGCACAAACAGGGAGCAATCAGTGAATGAAAAATAAATCGAACAACAAATCAATGTTGTCTCTCCTCCTCCCTTCCTCCTTTCCACTCTCTTTAAAACTCAATTTCCTGCCCTAACCGGTTTGGCTCAGTGGGTAGAGCGTTGGCCTGTGGACTCAAGGGTCCCAGGTTCGATTCCGGTCAAGGGCATGTACCTTGGTTGCGGGCACATCCCCAGTAGGGGGCGTGCAGGAGGCAGCTGATCGATGTTTCTCTCTCATCGATGTTTCTAACTCTCTATCCCTCTCCCCTCCTCCCTGTAAAAAATCAATAAAATATATTAAAAACAACAACAACAACAACTCAATTTCCTCACATGAGGATTAACAACAGCAAAGGGTGAGAGGCTCCCTGAGCTGTCCCAGCACCTGCTACATGGCCCTGGCCGCCCCCGCCCCCGCCCCCCCAGCTCTGCTGTAATAAACAGGGTGAACTCCGCTGCCTGAGTCCTGCAGGGCCGTCACCAGAGGACCCCGCCCTGCCCTGGGTTGTTGGTAACCTCAGGCCTCCACCCCAGGCTCCTTGGGTCCCCGAAAGTACAGTGTCCTGAGGCCCAGCAACAACTTCTGTAAAGGCTCCACTAACGTCCCCAGAGGAACAGTCCCTCTGTCCCTGGGATCCTCCCCAATGAGTCCTGAGCCCTCAGAGAACCAGCCACGGGGGCCTTCAGCCCCAGGCCCTGTCCCCGCCCTTCAGCTTCTGTTGTAAAGCTGAGCCACGCCCCCCACACCCACCCCTGGCTGCTCTCGATTATTGTCCCTCACCAAGTCTTGCCCTGTCCAGAGCCTCCCCACGGATGATGGACAGACAGACACAGAGTGTCAGGTAGCTAAGCAGACAGACAGATAATAAATACACAGACGCCCGGCTGGTGTGGCTCAGTGATTGAACATCGACCTATGAACAAGGAGGTCATAGTTCGATTCTGGGTCAGGGCACATGCCCGAGATGCGGGCTTGATCCCCAGTGTGGGGCGTGCAGGAGGCAGCCGATCAATGATTCTCTCTCATCATTGATGTTTCTCTCTCTCTCTCCCTCTCCCTTCCTTTGTTATCATGTCCCAATGGGCCAATAAAAAGTATATATTTAAAAAAATAAATACACAGATGGACAAGGAGTCAGATGGATGGATAGATGGAAAACTGGAAAATAAAGAGAGATGGACAGACACACAAAACAGATAGGTAGACAGACAGATAACAAAATCCATAGACAGAAAAATAGGATCAATTAGACAGAGCCCCCAGGACCTGCTATGGCCCCCCTAGCCGGCAGGAAACCATCACTTTCCCAGGAACCTCCCCCCACCCCACCTGTCTAGCTAGATTCCTTCATTCCCTCATTCCAAGGTCCCCACAGTAGGGGACCTGAGACCCCACTAAAAAGGGCCCTGAGGTCCCTCTCCATGGCTCTGTGCATCCCCTTCAGATGCTCTGGGTCCTTCTCCAATGGTTAAAACACCCCCTAGGATTCTGCTCTATTGCCCAGGACCCTGAACCAATCCCAGGAGAGCCCTGGGGACCAGTCCTTGGGCTCCCGCCCCCCACACACCCAGGGCCCTAGTGCACCATCCCGGGCCTTCCCAGTGGCCCCAGGTCCTGCAATAACCCTCCACTGTCCTTCAGGTCCTGCTTTACCCATGTCTGGGTGTCCCAGGTCCTGCTGCAATGCCCCATCAGCGATCACTTGGACACCTCTCAGACCCTACTCCACCACTGCGCCCTCTGCAGAAGTCCTTTGGTTCCCGATAAAATGTCCGCAGGACCCTGGGCACTCAGAAGGCCCCCTGGGTCCTACTGAAATGGACGCAGTCTTCTCTCGTGTAGCCTTGAGGGTCATCAAATGGCCTCAGGGTGTCCCCTCTAAGCACTGCCTGGAACCTAGTAGAATGCCTCTTAGACCTACCATGAAGTCTTTTATTGAAAAAAAATTTATAGCCTTAACCGGTTTGGCTCAGTGGATAGAGGGACGGCCTGCAGACTGAAGGGTCCTGGGTTCTATTCTGGTCAAGGGCATGTACCTTGGTTGCGGGCACATCCCCATTAGGGGGTTGTGCAGGAGGCAGCTGATGGATGCTTCTCTCTCATCGATGTTTCTAACTCTCTATCCCTCTCCCTTCCTCTCTGTAAAAAGTCAATCAAATATATATTTTTTAAAAAGATACAACCAGCGGGCACAGCCCCAGAGGGGAGTGTGCAGGAGGCGGCTGAATCGATGTTTCTAATTCTCTATCCCTCTCCCTTCCTCTCTGTAAAAAATCAGTAAAATACATTTTGAAAAAAAAAAGATACAACCAATGAAATCTTATAAAGACTGGCCACCTCCCTTTAAGAAAATAAAAATAGCCAGAACCGGTTTGTCTCAGTGGATAGAGCATCGGCCTGCGGACTGAAGGGTCCCAGGTTCGATTCCGGTCAAGGCCATGTACCTGGGTTGCGGGCACATCCCCAGTGGGAGATGTGCAGGAGGCGGCTGATCAATCTTTCTGACTCTCTATCTCTCTCTCCCTTCCTCTCTGTATCAATAAAATATATTTTAAAAAAATAAAATAAAAATAATTTACAGGTTTGAGAAAGAGAGAAACATCGAATTGTTCTGCTCTTTCATTGGTTGCTTCTTGTGTGTGTCCTGATCAGGGATTAAACCAGAAACCTTGGTGCATCCGGACGATGCTCTAACCAACTGCGCTACCCAGTCCGAGCCCTGCCATGAAGCTTTAGGGCCCTGCTCGTGTGTCCCCACAACCACAAGTGTCCAGGGGGCCTGGGAAAATCCCCCCGCAGGCTGGGGGTCCTGCTTCAGCGGCCATCCATCTACACGGCCTGGGATCATTGTACAAGTGCCCTGTGGCTGCCGTAACCCAGCACCACCAACAAAGTGGCTAAAACCATACAGTTGTATTGTCTCTCAGGTCTGGAGACCAGAAGTCCAACATGGTCCGCAGGGCTGGCTCCTTCTGGCAGCTCCCGGGGAGAATCCTCTCCCCGCTGCTGGAGGCCACCTGCATCCCTTGGCTAGTGGCCCCATCCTCCATCTTCAACACCAGCACCTCCTCTCCTCTCTGACCCTGCACCCTTCCTTATGTCTCCTTGACTCTGATCCTTCCACTTCCTCTTATAAGGACCTTTGTGATGACGTTGGTCTCACCTGGATGACCCAGGATTATTTTCCCAATTCAAGATCCTGAACTTAATCCCATCTGCCAAGTGCCCCCTTTTATTTTTAAAATAAATATATTTTTATTGATTTCAGAGAGAGGAAGGGAGAGGGAGAGAGAGATTGAAACATCAATGATGACAGAAAATCACTGATCAGCTGCCTCCTGCACGCCCCTCACTGGGGATCGAGCCTGAAACCCGGGCATGTGCCCTTGACTGGAGTTGAACTGGGGACCCCTTGGTCATGGGTCGACGCTCAACCACAGAGCCACACCGGCCAGGCTTCACTTTATTTCTGCATGTAACTGCTCTTTATTCTTTTATGGAAAGA